CCCCCGGGGAAACCCACTGCCGGCCACTCGGGCTAACCCCGAGGGGCAAGCGAGACAGGCCAGGGATGTGCCGCCATCCCCGGCTGCATGGGGGATGAGAAGTTTGGGATGAGAAGTTTCCCTCCTCCCTTCCTCGTCGCGTTGCTTTGGCAGTCCCGGTGATGGGAGAGGAGGAAAGTCCTGCGGATGCAGCGCAGGACTTAACAGCGAGGGTGGTGGGGTACAGCATCACTTACAGCTTTTTGCTTTCGGTACCCAACTATCCGGGTCGGTAAGCCGGGTGTTTGGTACCCTCCGGCATTACCTCCTCCGGCAAGGGAGCGGAAAGGCTTAACGCACTGGGAAAAGCTGGGGAGCTCCAGAACAGCGTCGCTAAGCAAGGCGGGGAGGGGAAAGAGAGCTGCTTTTCATCTGAGCGAGCTCTATTACAGGCACAGAAGCGCCTGAAAACAGCTTTTTCTTTGCAGGAGTTTGAGCAAAGGGAGCATATGGGAAAACTCCTGCCAAACTAGGCAGCTGGGCCAGGCCAGGCGGGCAGCGCTCGGTGCTGGGCAGAATAATGCTCTCTGCTGCTCACACACCAGAATCATTTCTTCTTCCTTCCCACCTTCCTCAGGAGCATCTTGGTTTTTGCAATTTCTCTTCTTGCCCTCTGACCCTCAGCCGCTTTGTGCCCAGTGCTGGGTCCTGAGCACTTGTGGAGACGTCTCGTGTTAGAGGGGATCAGGCAGGGATGATCCTTCTGGGGGGGTTACCAGGCTGGATAAGCCTCTTATTAACCCACCTGGGTAATAATGTGGGGCTTGGGTGGGACGGCGATGCTGGGACGGGGCGATGCTACAAGCAGGGATGCAGGCAGCAGCTTGGCGGGTGGGTGCAAAATGCTGTGGGCAACTGGGCCATCGTCACGCTGCAGGAAAGGTACTGAGCTCCCACTCCACGGGAGCGAAGCCCTCAGCTTCATACGTGCCATGGCCACGGGGAAACATCAAGCCCTGACATTTCTGCTCATAAGACCCCAATTTTGGTGGCTTTTTTTTCTGAAATTCTGCTGAAACAACTGCCTCAGGCAGGAGGTGGGGGGGTAATCACCTTTGTCAACACCATTAATACACTGAAAAATTTTTTGCCCTAAAAAAAAAAAGTCACCGTTCATGTGCACTCTGCAAAGATTTCCCAGATTTTTAGTGGCTCCATTTCTGGAAGGGACAGCCCAGACCTCCCCTGAATCCGCAGCACTGCTGCTGTGTTAGGAGAGCTGTGTCTGAGGAGAGGACGGATGGGAAGCAAGAAGGGAGGAGAGCAGGGCTGGAAAAGCCTGGGAAAATGTCAGTGATCCCTCCTGACAGGTTTCTAGGGGACACAGGCAGCTGGCTCTAAAAGAAAAAAAAAACAACCCTAAAGCCACCACCAACAGAGCAAAAAAACAACCCAAAGGAACTGCCCACACGTCCCGGCTCACTCTTAACGAACACTCTAAGGTCACCAAGCCAAACCATGTGTGGTTAGTAAGTGCCAGAATTAAGGTAGCTGTGGTAACCTCGATTCAGGCTGCCTTCGGTGTGTGTGTACTAAGCAGCAGCCCTGCCCGCTGGTTTTCATGCCCACCACCAACAGAGCAAAAAAACAACCCAAAGGAACTGCCCACACGTCCCGGCTCACTCTTAACGAACACTCTAAGGTCACCAAGCCAAACCATGTGTGGTTAGTAAGTGCCAGAATTAAGGTAGCTGTGGTAACCTCGATTCAGGCTGCCTTCGGTGTGTGTGTACTAAGCAGCAGCCCTGCCCGCTGGTTTTCATGCCCCATCCCCGGGCAGGGCACAGGAGAAGCCTGCCCACGGAGGAAGGGGGTCCTGGGGGGTGGCTGTGGCTGCCAGGGGCTGCTCTGCTCCCAAAGCTGGAGGGGAAGGGGCTGAGCCAGGCAAGGAGAGGCTGCACGATAAAGAAAGGCTTTTGGGGTGAAGAGAGGGGAAAAAAGAGGAGGGGATGAGAGCCCTGGCCCCTGAGCCTGCTTGCAGTACGCACGAGGATTCACCTGAGCTAAGGTGTTCTCAGATGCCGACCCGTTTATTTTTGCATTTCCCATTTTCTGAGCACAGACCTGGCTCTGACCCGCGGAAGCAGCCACATCTCCCCAGAGCCTACAAGCCCTGACCAGGCTGATACAGTCCTTGCCCCGAGGTTGCCAGCATCACGGCTTTGAATGCTCAAGCCCAGGTGACGCAAAGGATTCCAGAAACAAATCCCATCTCCCAAGTGCCTCAAACCCAGCACCCAGCTCTAGTGGAAACCTCTGACCTTATTCCCTCCGTATCTCAGCTCATTGCCTGCAAGGGGAGGCGCACGGATCCTGCAGGACCGATCCGGGATGAGGCAGGGTCCTGGCAAACCAGAGCTGGGAACTCACCCACCTAAGCACGCACCCACACCCCGAGGGTACGGCTGGGGCACAGACAACCTGCTTTCAAGGACTCCTTAACCTCGGAGCGCTCAGCCTCGCAGCTCGAACGGTGTTTGCTTGAGGTTGTTTCCTCCTGCGTCATTTGGACGGTGAGCGATGCTTGTCTCTTCTGACGAAGCATCTCACTTTCCACCAGGCTCATGTCCGCTGGACCGTCTCATAGTTTCCAATCAGCGATTAAAGACATGTCGCTGATGTCTTCGCTCCCCTTTTTTGAATACTTTATGGTGAATATCTGCCTGCTGCCTACACAAACCTGCGTGGCTTTAGGATGGTGCCTGCGAGAGCAGACCCAGAGACCCTGGCAGTCCCTGCAGCCCTGCCCTTCCCTTCCTAAACTCTTAATTTTAAATTGGCTCTATCCAAATTCGTACTTGCCAGGAGACTGCCCGGCCACGGACCAGTCTAACAGTTCTCCATCACTCTTCTAACTCCCACATCTCTGTAGGAAAGCCAGTGTAATAAAGCTTTACCTCCAGCATACAGACTAGAGCTCGAAGGGCCAAGCCAAGCTGTCGCATTGCAGAGGGTTGGCACAGCAATATTTCCCCAGCCCTCATCCCCGAGCTGGGGAGATGCCAGCCTCTGGCACAGCCCGTCTGGGGCCAGGAATGGGTGCAGGAAGGTGCACGGGAGCAAAACGATGGATACAAACTGCTCCGGGGATGTGAGTTGGGGGGGATCTGACCTGGTGGGGAAAGGAGAGGACAGTCACCAGCAGGTGACTGATGAGGCTTTAGGAAGCTGGTTTGCATCACTGTTTGCAGAACTGGCTGAGAAACCTGAAACCAGGTCAGCAAAACACCTCGCACAAGATTATTTTCGGCACAAGCAGGGTGAGGGCATTTCACTTCACCCCTGAAAAAAAAAAAATAAATGGCAAAAAGCAATGCTAAAGCAATACTGCAGCTGGATGGGGACTTGTCTGGGCAGAGGTTCAATCAACTATCCATTTTCTTTGGGGGAGAGGGAATCATCAGAAAACTCCAAACAATAGTCAATTCAACAAACCCACATCTCTGGGGAATAGAGAAGAACCTAACCGCAGAACCTCGGTGGAGGATTTTGGACTTCTCTAGCATACAATCATTTATCACTTCCAGAAAATCTTCATGCAACACGTGTGTGTTCCCTACAGGTATCATCACTGGGGCCGTGGTACCACGTGTACATAGTACTACCTGTGCTAGATTTCTTTGCCAGATGGTTTTGCACTTCTGTTCAGAGCGGTACTTTTGCAGGTACAAATCCCACCTCTGTGCTTTGCCAGACAGACTCCTCCTGTCCTCCTGTGTCGCAGAAAACACGGCAGGGAGGACCCTGGACATCAAAAATCCATCAGGTTAGACAAAGGGTGGCTGTCTGGCCAGCTTCTAGGTGGTAATCACCCATGTCGCTTCTCTGTGTCACCTTGTGCACTGCAGGGAAGATGAGTACAGAGGATGCTGGCAACAAGACCTCTCCCACCCCACCTCTCCTTGGGCTTCTGGTTTCAACCACCGAGCTGGTCCCACCCAGTCCCACATCCCCCGAGAAGGCAGACCCTCTGCCTGTCATCGTCGCGCTCGTCTGCATCTTCCTCCTCCTGGCGACCTTCCTCATTTTTATCACCCTCTGCAAGCCAGCAGCACTGGACCAGTCTGGCTCCGGGCCCCGCGAGTGCATGCCCCATCACCCGGCAGATGCCAGCGAGCCCCAGCTGAAGCTCTGGAAGCGGCTGGGCTCCCTCCGCCGCTCCATCAGCACCTTCAGGAGGAGTCGGCCGGTGTCCCAAAGCCGGCTCACCAACCCCAGGAGTTCCCCTGTCAGCCAGGACTGGGATGGCATGGAGTCCACCAAAATGTGATCCTGCTCGGTGGGAACCTACTCACCCCACACTGCTATTCTTTCCCAAGTTTTTGGTTCAGGCTCACTTCCCTCCTAAAGCAGCCTCTGGTATCCCCGGCATCCCGGCAGAGCCCCTTTGAGCACCTCATTTCCAGGCAGCGGCTCTGCAAGGCGACAGGAGGTTTTGCTATTTCAGGTTCCCAAACGCTTTCCAGGTTGCTGTTTCCTGGCAGGAAAGGCGGAGGCATCCGAACTACACCCAGACCCAGCTATCACCAGGCAGTCCAAAAAAAAGACTGCTGCTTAATTTCTTTTGGAAAACATTGGGCAAATTGCGAGGCATCTGAACAAACAACCTGGGCAAGAGCAGAACAACCTGGCTGCCTAACAAACATCGCCTTGAAAAGAGACTTTCCGGGGCAAACGTGCTCCACACAAAGCAACCCTCAGATGAGATTGCCCCCCGAGATGTGTTCCTGGGCAGGTGGAGGAAGGCTCGTGCCCCTCGTTTGCTGCCCGGCCTTTGTCTCCCCCCTCCCCATGCAACGAGCCGTGGGTTGCTGCGGTTGATGCTTGGAAGGATGCAGGCTACAGCTGCCTGCTGGAAACCTGCTTCAATAAATGAGCAGCGGGAGCAGGTAAACACGCCTGTAAAGACACTAAAGAAGGCTTTTGAGGCTCGCGCCAGCTTGGAAAGCCACCGCGCAAGGCTGAGCCGCTTGTTTCTGCTGGGAAAGGGTACAACAGCCAGCAGGTAATCTGATGTGCTTGAAGAAATCAGTAGGAAAAAGAATAAGTGGTTTAATTCTTCCAGGTCTGCAGCTCACGCTAAGTTCAGCTGTCGAGCTCATCCCTTTGGGTGAAGCGTCCGTGCTCAGTGTGGTCCCATGGCAAGCACCAAACCTCATCTCCCTGGGTCTCACGTGGTTTCTGACCCTCGTGGGCAGCAGCTCTCCGTCAGGATCTCTCCGGGCTGTCTGGGACCTGCCTGGCTTTTGGAGAAGGGGATGGGGAAACCTTCAAAAACTCTCTTGCTGCCATAAGGATGTGGGGATGTATTTGAAGGGGGAGACCTTCAGTATCAACGGTTCACTTTTAAAGGTGTAAATTAAACTAAACCCAGGGAATTGCCCATTTCCATTTCCCTCTGGTTTCGTTCTGTGGAAAACAAACTTCCCCCAAATACCGCCTGATCTTTGCCACAGACTTCCGAGGGCATCCCCCTCTTTTGGGAAGCGCGCTCTAAGAAAAGAGACTTTGATGTCCAACTCGGGTTTCTTCCATTCACAGTCTTTCGATTTGAAAAAACAGCTCAGTTTTAGGAGTCCCATGGCAGGGCTCCTCTCTGCCTCCACAGCTCCCCTGCGTACCTCTAGCCCACTCCTGACCCCACAGACAGGCACGGTGCCACCCCGACAGGTGACGAGGAGCCGCAGGGACCACGTTTGGGGACCGGTCACCCCGAGCACGACGCACGGCTCCCGGCAAACCTTTGTTGCAAGAGGTGAAAGGCTCCTTTCTTCTCCCCCAGTGACTCACCCTGCCCGTGAGAGCCAGGGACAAAGCTGCCCCTTTCCCTGTGCCGGGAGAGGTATTCAAGGCAGGAGGAGCCTTCCCAGGGCCCTCTGCAAAGAGCCTTTGGTGCCCGCTCCAGAAGAGCCCTGGGTTTGAAGGGATGCTGGAAGCCCTCGGAGACCGTGTGAATGCCCGCCATTCATTCGGTGCTCAGTGAGCCATTCAGCTCTGCCCATCGCTCCCTCAAAGAGGAACACAAATGAAAGCAAAGTCCAAACGCTTCTCTCCCTCCGTTTCCCCCCCCTGCCTCCTCAGAGCATCTCTTTGCACGCACTCTTCTCCCTCCCCCTCGAGATCTCCGCTCTCGTCCCCTTCTCTGCTGGGAGGAGGGAGAAAGCGGGGACGCAGCCAGGCAAAGGGGCCTCGCCAACACAGGGCTTGAGTTTTCTCCTCTCACCCTCTGCAGAAACGGGGTGAATTTCTTATTTTTCCATGGCGCTTTGCTGCCTCCTCCCTGGTGCTCACCACCTGGGGTAGCAAAGGAGCAGGGGAGCACACAAGCAAGAAGACATCATGCCCTGGCCTGGGGGAACAGAGAAAATCTCTGCCCTGGGCTTCCTGTAGCTCACAGACGCGATGCCTGAGCATGGGCCCTTTTGCCCACCCAAGGGCCCCCCCGGGTGGAAGAGAGCCACGTGCCTGCACTATGCTGCTGGCAGCCGGGATGTCCTCGGGGACGCTGACTTCGTAGCTGCTCTGAAGGAAGATGGGTCGGTTGTCATTGACATCCAGGACGGTCACGTACACGGTGGCAGTCCCAGTGCGTCGGTTCCCTGTGGGGCCGTTGTCTGTAGGGGAAAGAAAGGTGAGGGGTGGTATGGTCACCTCCGTCTCCTCCTTGCACAGCTGGTGCTCAGCCTTTGGCTACTGAAAACAACAGGATCAAAAGTTTCTAAACAAATCCTCTGTCTTTTCTGCAGCTGCCAAATCCCACACTGAACCTCGAGGTCTTTTTCTGCCTATCTTGAAAGAAAAAGGAAAAACCAAACCACCCCCAAGCTCTGCCACGGAGCCACTGCCCAGCGAGGCTGGAAACACAACTGGTCATTAAAGAGGGTTTGCAAGTCACTAAAGAGGGTGAGGTACGCTGGCAGGGACTTCTGGAGGCCAGGGATTTGGGAGATGAAGACGGGCAGGAGTCTGAGCAGTTTTCTGTAGACCCAGCTCAGCTCCCAGCCAAAGAGCTCCAGGACGGGTTGATGTTCAGTAGACAAGGACATGGCAGCACGGCTCTTGGTTATGCCACGAAGGACGAGGCAATGAGGACATAGGTTGGGTTGGGCTGTTTTTCCAACATGCCTGACGCAAGCGAGCACCAAACCCGCCCAGCTGGGATCTGGTGACCAGGAAAACACAGGCAGTCTGATACCCATCGGAGGGGCAGAATGGTCCCTTTACCGCTTGGGAACCGGCCCTGCGTGCCCAGTCGGTGCAGCATCCCTGCTGCAGACCCCATGGCACCTGCAATGCAGTGTCCCCAAGATTTCTGACCAGACCACTTATTTCTCCTTTCAAAAGGGATGTCCAAGTCTTCTGTAAACAGGCACATCATTATAAAGCTCTGGGGATGATGGCCAAGATGCGTTTGGCATGTGAGCCCTCTGCCTGTGCCAGGTGGCTCTGGTTTAATCGGCAGCCACCGAGCCAAGGGCTGGCACGGCATTAGGGGAACGATGCTGTGGCACTGGCATTTCTGGGTGGGGGTCTCCCCTGGACAGCACGGAGCCTCTCAGGAATGGGGGTCTTGCCTTCCCTGGGGGAAAGGGAAAGCCCCAGGGCAGGATGAACCCGAGGGCTGAGTTTACCGTCTGCAAAAGTCATAGTGGAACCAGGAGATATTAATCCACGTGGGTTGTGAAATGCTAACACCAAACACAGGCCGCGGTTTACAGAGAGTCTCAAAGGTTGCTGTCTCCCTGCCACACTTCCAAGGCAGCCAGACATGTGCACAGCCACCCTGCATGGCTGCGTGGCAGCCGTCCCACGGGAACGGTGAGAGATCCTTACCGATGGCCTCCAGGATCAGCGTGTACGATGCCACCGTCTCCCTGTCCAGACTCACGACAGTCCTGACCACCCCATCCCTGAAGCCGACGCTGAATTTGCCATCCTGGTTCCCACCTGCAGCAAAGGACAGGGACCAGGTTACCCGTTGTGTTGTTCATTTGGATGCAGGGAGCAGAGCCCACCCTGTGGGGGATGCTGCAGCCCAGGCATGGCATCAGCCCGGCCGTGGAAATGGCAAGCTCTCAGCCTGCCCTCCTGCATTTTACATGGTTTCGAGCAAGGCAAGTGTAGAGTGAGCTCGTATCTCGTCCTAGGCAAAGTTTCTCTGCAGAAAAAGCGAGTGGCACATCTTTTCTCCGCCGCACCAAACGTCATGCCTGCCTTGCAGCGCAGGCAAGGAGCGATGGTGGTAGGAGAAGCTGCATCGTATAAATGCCAGATCATTTCCTGAATGCTTCGGAAACAAACTGAGGTCACTTTGCATGTGGCCTGCGGTACCTGTGGGTCAACACACACCTTTTCTCTAGCGGGGGAGGCCGTGAGATGCAAACATAGGGCTGCTATTGTGAGAAAAAAATGCCTCTCTGTTAACACTTCTATTTTTGCCCTCTTCCTGAGGGCTAAACGCCGCATGTGCAGTTTGCAAGTCAAAATGCAGCCAGGGGGTTCCCCGGCCTCCCGGCTGCAGGTGCTGCAGCTGCAGTGCGAGCCAGGCACTGCCCAGGCTCCATCGCTGCCCGCCTGCTCCCTGCCCACTCAAAACCACCCGCACGTGGGCTTATGAGATGCCCTAAATCTCCAGAGAGGCTTCCAACCACGACTGCGGGTTATGTGAATGCCACCCCAGCCCTTGCTCTCCGGCGGTGTCCAGCTCATGCTTTTCCTGGCTGCATCCCGGTGGTGTGAGAGGGCAAGGGATGCTCGGGGGCAAGGGTGCACCCGTTGTAGAGGGGCCGGCAAGGCGGGGAGCCAAGCGGGGCTGTTCAGCAGAGGGTGATGCCACACAAGGTTTGGAAGGGCTGGAAAAGGCAGCGCTGATGTGCAGAACACCCTGGCCATGGTTTGGGACAACCTGCTCCTTTCCCCACCCAAAGGTCCCCCTTTGCAGCATTTCGCAAGGGGTTCATACCTGTGATGAAGTAGCTGAGCTCAGCATTCAGCCCAATGTCAGCATCTGTGCAGTTGAGCCGGACCACTTTGAAATCCCGGGCCACATTTTCGGGCAGCGACACGTTGTAGACAGTTGGGAAGAAGGTGGGGTTCTCGTCGTTCACGTCCAGAACTGAAAGGGGGAGCAGAGCTGAGTGTCCCCCCAGGGCTGCCCCTCCTGCAGATGCCAGACTGATGATGTCCAAAGGGCTCCCAAAAACACCCGCCTGCTGCTCCGAGCACCCCAGGGAACGCCCTGCCCTCTGTCTGGTGGGGGTGCCTGCAGACCGGCCGTAAGGACCGACCCCCACAGCTGCAGGCTGTATTGGGCCACCTCTGATACAAACAGATCACCCTCCTCATGTCCAGAGAAACCCTACAGAACTGCAATTAAAGTTACCATTTGCATTACTCATTTCCATCCCTGTTCAGAGAAAAATCTGTGGTTTAAATATAACCTCAGCATTTCCTGGAGTATGGCAGAGGGCTCTGGAGTTACAGGACCAAAAACTTATTTTTCCAAACCCGGACCTGAGGAGAATCCAGGGTCACTTCATTTCCAGATGACACTTACCCTCAGCAAGAGGCTCGTGTGAAGCCAGTAAACAGAAAGGCACCAAATTAAAGACAGACTGCGTAATAAGGGTCTCAGTCTATCCCCTATATAAACCACATCTCCCCCCTTGGTGAGGTGTCCTTGTCACCCATCTTTTTGGGACCGGAGGGGGCTCTGTGGCTGGGCAGGGGTTGGAAGGGGTCCCGGCGTGCCCACCTTTGACAGTCAGGGTGCTGGTGGAGCTCTTGGAGGGCACGCCGGCATCGCTGGCCACCACCCGCAGGTAGTACTCGGCGATCCTCTCCCTGTCCAGCACGGTGGTGGAGGTGACGAGCCCGCTGGTGCTATTGATGAGGAAATCCATGCGGGGCATCCCCACCTGCATGCGGTACGTCACCTGCCCATTCGGACCCTCGTCCAGGTCGATGGCCACTACCTGGTGGGGAGAGTGGAGGGAAGGGGTGAGCATGGGGAAGCCCCATCGTCTCCTGACGATGAAAATCACAGTACATAAACCCTGAGTGTTTCTTTGCCCCCAGGGATGCTGGGCTGAAACAAAGGGGTCTTGGAGCATCCCCCTTGCCGGGAGCGGGCACATGGAGTGGGATGCCACAACCCCTTCTGCTTCCCCCTGGTTGCATTGTTAGAGGATGGGGAGGATGGGGAGGATGGGGAGGATGGGGAGGATGGGGCGGATGGGGAGGCTGGGTTGGCAGGCTGGTTCGC